TTGACCAATTTTTAACATTAATGTTGATTGATAGCCGATTTTCTATTTATCTAAAATACCGATTTTTTAGCAATGGTCAGCAGAATTAAACTATAATTCGATCAACTTTTGATACTTTAAATGTAATGAATTGTATTATTTTGCCTGGTGATATATAAATAACTACCAATCGTTAATATCTGAATGTTCTTTTGTGTGGCACCTGAATTGGGCAACATCGGCTATAAATAAAAATGCCAATTGTTTTGGTAATGATCGGTAGAAATTAGACTATATTTTGGCCAACATTCGGCACTTTAAAAAAGTGACGAAATGGATTATTTCAACTAGTAGGAGGATTGATACTCTTTCTCCTCGTTGGATTTTTTCCAAGAATTTTTACTTTAAAAAAGTGTCCGTTCAACGGCGGCCGCGGCTTAGCCTGCGAACAAAACAAATAACCCCACCTTTCAAAAATATTCCTCTCTTTGTTCCCCACACCCCTCTCCACATAAAATTTTCGAAATAGTCTAAACCGTGTTGTTTTTTGTTAAAATATTTTTTCTTCACCTCTTTTCGAAAATTTTTTCCGTTTTTTTTCTCATTTTCTTTTTTGCCTACAAAAAGTGGGCATCAAGGGGTATTCGAACCGACGATCATGATCGACATACTTTGGATAAACAAATCTCACGTGATGATCCCCTTTCCCTTTCTAAACAATATACTCTCTTTTGATTGGCCTCTGCCTTTCTGCAGATCCTCTGTCGTCGAAGGTCACATGCAAATTTAGCGAGCATTATTACTTTGTTTTTCCATGAGGTCTTCTATATGGTGTGATGGTAGCTACCACTTGGTCTGGTATTTTTGTTGGCTCAAACGGGTTTGAAATAGAGCAACGGGGGGCCTTTGTTGTCAAGATCCTTACTCAGTGTAAGTTCGCTTCGTCTAGATCCATTCCTTCCTGGTAACCAGGTAGAGGGTATAGATTACTATCTGTTAATTCATTGTTGGGTTCTCGTAGTGGATTCTGTGTGATATTTTTTCTGTACTTATGAATCTATAAGTATGAAGAGCCTCTGTTTAGACCTTTCTTTGGACGCACCCTCTTTGGTCGGGTGGTCGTTATATCCAGAATTAACTGGACATTTAGGTTTTTTATAGAGTCATGTTTAGTTGTTTGTAAATTTCTATTTGTGCCAATTCCCTACTTCGGGTGTTGTTTTTAGTGTTAGATTTTCTTTTGAGGGAAGTTAGGGTTCGACGGACATTTAGAAATTAGATGTTTTCTGACACTTTATTTCCACTCCCTTCGGGGGGTGGCAGTGATCAGTCGACTCAAACAAGTTTGAAATAGAACCACGGGGGTAAGTTGCGTATTTTAGTATTTTTTTTAGGTTTTTCCTTCAATTTACAATACATAATAAAGTACTGCAGCTAGACTGCATCGTTAACAATTAAAAAAAAAATTATTTCGACTAGTGATTGACTATTATGGCTTGATCAATGGTCTATACAGGAGTTTTCTGATATATGATTTGTAACAGTAATATCATATTGCTGTTGCAGAAATCTAATATAATTCGAAATAGTAATGATGAAATTATCAAATGCATTACAGAGTCAGTTAAAGATTATCATTAGTATTCATGATGATGTAATATATAGGCAAAAGCTTGGCAATACAAATTGAGTTCATTTGTATTAAAGAATTTTCATGAATTCTTATATGACTCTGGATCTGCACAGCCAAAAAACTCATGAAAAAGCTCAGGTATGTTATAGTTGCATTCTTTGAGTTTCTAATAATTACACATATTAATATACCAAATCGTTTCAGTCAAATTATTAATAAATTGCTTGCTTATATATTAGCAAATAATTAGGTAGACCATCCTTCATTATAAAGGCAAATCCAGTTAACAAGATCAGAACATAATGTTTATTTGTGATTTGCTTTTCCTGATTATAAAAAGATTGGCAAGTGCAATTGGGTTTAGTATGTATTTAGCATCATAATTGTGAAACTATTTCACTATGATGCCAAATCAGTGATCACGTCATTATCATTTTTGAGCTGATAATATACATGTATTTCTATATTTGATGTAAGTTCTATAATATTACAGTTAAGGGTGACTTGAGTTGTAATTAATATTGGTATCTCGTTTAATTCAACACATTCTATTATTTTTGAGATTATGACAATAATATTGCATTCTAGAGATAATTCTTTATTTACAAGCTTTACAAAAAATTCTTTTATTGTTATTTTATAAGGAATAGGGTGAATGTATCACCTATAAAGAATTTTTGTTCCTTTGGAAATGCGAATATTTGTGAACGACATGTTGTTGAAGTTTAAAAAAAATGTTTGTAAAAGAAGTTAATTCTAACATATTTTTTACTTTCCTTTTTATTAACTCTTATACGTATTAATTTCAATCAGTAGGCATAGTTATAAAAGAAAAGCCAATAGGTTTCATGAAGATCCATATTATTTCATAAATCGATTAGCAGCTTAAAGTACCAGTTAAAGAGCATCATACTCTTTATTTGGTTAATGAAATTGCAATTTATATTTTAAAGTTAACATTAATTTATAGTTATTAATGGTAATTAGCAATTTATTTAATAGATTTAATATATTACATTCAATTAATCATTTCATTTTGTTACATCATATAGAAATTTAAATTAGACAAACATTTAAATTTATTTCTTATTAATAAAACATTAATTTGAGAGGGGAATGTTAATAATAGATTTTTATAAAGGAGAAATTGACTTATTTTAAAACCATTTATAGTTAGTAAACATATAATTTGACAAACTTCTTATTGTGTTATTGTTAATTGATTAATTGTAACTAAAATATGATTTTGATTGGTTAAAAGTTTGGGACGTTAAAGGTGATAATGATATTTTCTATTAGATAAAGAAGGTATTACGTCTATTATGACTGTTATATATAATTGAAATTAAAAATTTTATGCGCAATATAATTTTAATTTTCAATCGGATAAGTGATAAGTGGGTTGTGAAATACTAAAATATTAAGCATTAAATTTTATTTGTTAAAAAATTTTTTACTTTTAAAAAATAAAGTCAATTTCGGATATGTAAGCCAATTTTACTACTTTGTCACCTTACTTAAAAGCTAAAAATTTGTAATTTTAAAAAAGATTTATTTTAAAAAATTTCATGATTGATCTATGATAAACTTTTTAAAATTTATTTTTAACTATATTAATTATAATAGAATATTATAAATTTACTTATAAAGAAAAACTTTTATTATTATCATTTTTATAATTTATTAAGAAATTTTATGATTTTAATTAGTAATTCAATTAGTATGCAAACATATAAATTTTTAAAGTATTTTTAAAATTTTATTATAATAAATTTTTTGAAACTTAATTTTAAAATCAAATTATTTTAAAAACCTTTTAAAAAACTTAAAATCTTTGTTAATAAATTTGATAAAATATATATATTTTTTATATAATAATAATATTACTAAAATTAATATTTAATATTTTATAAAGAAATTAACACTTTTTTTAAATTTGCAGGTAAATTTACCTGCTTTACAATTTAAGGGATAATTCAATCTCATCAAATCTTTTTTTTTTAAGTTAGTAAGTAAACATCAAAGCTTCTACAAAACGTTAGTATCTAATATTAAAGTATATTATATTATATTTTTGAGTGTTACAACCTTTCCAAAATTAATGCCAATGCAAAACCTTTACAAATCTAACAATGAAAGAATAATATAGCTATTGGTAAATGCTTAAATGATCTCTTTAAAAATAAAAATAGAGGATCATGTACATTTATGAATCAGATTATCAATAAGATATGGTTGGCAAAAAAAAATATCTTTGATATTAAAATCGCATTTGCAATTAATATATATGAGATATTTTTAAATCCTACTAATTAAGATATAAAAATTTCTGGAATAAAAATTAGTTATACAAAATATGATAAGTTACATAAAATTCAATACAAATATTTAAATTTATTATTATTATTATATTATTTAGTAAAGAATCATAAACTATAAATTTTTACATTCTGATAAAAAAGATGATGATAATAATAATTTTAATGATGATTTGATGGAGCAGAAATAGAAGGAAAAGAAGAGAAGAAGAAATAAATGAAATATTAGAAAGTGATGAAGGGAGTAATAATAACAACACCAGTGATGATTACTAAAAAAATTGGCATATTTTTTTTTCCTTTTATATTTAAAATTAGTTTGTGATACATAAATTAGTATTACACAAAGAAGACATGAATGGTCCAGGTAACATATATAACTGCGGTAACTAAAATATCATATATGTCTTCTACATCTTATAATACTTATATTTCTTATAAATATTACATATATTTATTATAGTTATTATAGTTATTATATTATTTATATTTCTTATATATCTTCAAATACTTTATGTAATTATTTTTATATAAATATACTTTGAGTCTTAGGATAGTAAACGATAGGTTTTTTTATAATGTTTTATTGTAGGTTTTAAAGTATTATCTTTAGTTTAGTTTAATATACAACATTTGTATAGTACAAAGCACTGATAGAGGTAGTACTCATTTATTAGAGACATATTAAATAAACAATTGACACTTTTAACTCAATCTATATAATCTTATAAACCTTTTATCTTCTGCTTATCTTATCATGCTTTTAACCTTTAAGTGACTCTAGAGAACTAATCATAATATTAGTGATATTTTCTTCTTTTTTTCTTTATATTTTATATTTTTAATAAAATTTTATGATTTGTATTAAATATTTTAAAATATATATATATTATTGTATTTTATCAAAAATAAGCATATCTTAAAATAAGTACTAACATATTTATATAGGATCTAAAAATAAGCATATTTGTAAAATTTATTATAAAAATTTAACCAGATATATTATAAATGTGAAAAAATGTTTATAAAAAAAAGAAATAAGCTATTATAACTTGTTAAAAGTATTATCACTAAAAACTTTTATCATTAGTTTCACTTGTTACTAATTTCTTAATATCTGATTCTATTATATCGATTTCCAATTTTATTTCTTTATCAACTTCTGATCTATTAGTCTCAATTTCTGATTCCTTTATATCTATATCAGAATTTATTGGTAAATCTATTATATAATACTTCTTAAAAGATCCAATAATAATTTTATCAAAAATTTTCTTCAATGATCGCTTAACTCAACATATATATTACTTATTTTAGCATGCTGAAAGTTTCTGTTAGCAGTATTCTTTGCACTACCACTTACCATCCATAAAATACCACTCTTTTTAGAAGTTATTCTTAAATATTGAGTAGTAAATCTATTAAAACTCTTTAGCAATTCTTTAATATATTTTGGGAGCTTCTGAGATATTTTCGTACGTCAGCGTAATACCAGCTCATGCCTTTTCAAAAATTTACATAATCAGCTAAGTGATACTTTAAAATTATTTATTGAATTATAAATGGTTGTTATCCCTTAAATTATAGGGTTTTACAGGCAAATTTGCCTGCTTATTTACTATAAATTCTCTTCTGATTTACTTTTTATAAATAATTAATATTTTTAAAAAATGTTTTTTTTAAATTAATTATATAAATATGTAATGTATTATAATAAGTTTTATCTTTTAATTATACAATAAAAAATATAATGTTACTTAAAAGCTAAAAATTTGTTATTTTTAAAAAAAATTTATGATTAATCTATAATAAACTTTTTAGAATTTATTTTTAACTATATTAATCATAATAGAATATTATAAAATTACTTATAAAGAAAAACTTTTATTATTATAATTTTTATAA